GTTGGTTGGTTGGTTGTTTGGTTGGATGATTGATTTGGTGGATTCATTGATTGACCGATTGATTGATGGATGGATGGATTGATGGGTGGATTGTGATCAATGCATTGACTGATCGGTGGATTGGTAAATGAGCTGATCGGGCAATCGATTGATTGATTTGTTGATGCAACCTGAAATGTCACGTTTGGCAAGTAGCAAACCTCGCCCAGTCTCCTGCGACGGCGGCTGCGGCTGCGCTTCCTCCCGGCTTGTTCTTGTGTTTTCATGTTTTTCATCCTGGTCATTTTTGGGTCTGGTGATGCCATGGCCAAGTTGCCATGAACGAGAGCAGAAAACTCCAAGTTCCGAGTGACTTAGTCATCATAGAACGGACGCGCTCCGGGAAATAACAGTTGAGATAAGGGAGCTACACACTCAAAAAGAGGAGGCCGGAGATCAGACCTGAAAGACTAGAGCCCAAAGCGAAGCTCACCATACTGCTGGGCCCCATACCGCTGGGCCCCGTGGTGGTCTCGAAGGAAATCAGCTCAGCGTCGGAAGCGGGCCGCAGCTGGGTGGAGTTGGTGGCATTCCCGCCTCCGCTTGTCAAAACATCCAGGGTCAAGGCGGTGACCCTGAAGTTGGCTGGGCTCTCCACATTGGAAATGGGGAGCAGCACAGCGATGGAAGAGATGGAGCCTGGCCTGATCGTGCGGCATTCTGATGTCTCGCTGCAAGGCTTGATGCCTCCCATCATTAGCTCCTCACCATGGAAGTCGCTCCACTTCAACCACAGGTTGTGCTCACCATCGTTGTCGACCTTCACAGCCGCAATGAACCGCACATCTTGCCTAGCATCGTTCAAGCGAACTTTGAAGTGGCTGACTTTTGTGTTGAAGAAGTGCATCTCAAGGCCATCGTATTTCTCCAAATCTGCACCAGCAGCGGCGGCGGGCAGCATGCCCTCGACGAGGCTGTACATCATGCTCTCGTTGAAGACGGTGTCCATCTCCACGTGGCCAGCGGCAACGTTCAGCGCTGCCGGCTCGTGAACGGGGCACCTCACCACTCGGTCTGGGATGGCCCAGCTCGATGCATCGAGCACGTCCAGCTTTTCGACTGCGGAGACGTTCTCGTCCTGCGCAGTAACCTCGTCCCAGTCAGGAATGTCCAGTTGAGCATGGGCGAGCATGCAACCACACAGGGCAAGAAGTACGGGGACCATGATGACGTGTTGGAGCGAAATGTCTTGAGCTGCAAACGCCTTGAGCTGCGCTTCTTCGCGGTGTATCCACGTGCAGCCGACTGGTAGCGATGCAACCAGGGTCATGTTTGAAATCGACCTTTGACTGTCGTGCAACAAGGGTCGCTAAAAGGTACATGTTTCCTGAGGGACGTGAAGTGGTGTAAGCTGCACGCTCATGACGTATCATTCACCCAGCCGCAAGATGTCAACAAACGGTCTCGCTCTGGTCCCTCTAGTGCCATGGAATGTTTCGAGGGCGGTTGGAGAGAAAACTGAGTAATGGAAGGCACTGGCAGCCGCCCAGAAGAAAAATGGAATGACAAGGGCAAACACTTCTTCGTATGACTAAGAACTGCCGCCCTCTAAAGCTATTGCACGCGAACCAACCACATCCAACCATGCAACCCTGGCGAATCACGGTGAACTCATAGGCTTTGGCTTTCCCTTGTTCCCCTTGCAATAATATGGCCTCTCAGAATAGGGGACCTGAAATGATTGGTGTCGTTTCGTTTCCCTTTTGAACCAAAAGAAGGTACCCTCAAAAGCAACACCTATGCAGTGGATGGACAAAAATGAACAGCCGGAATCTCCCCCAATTGGCCCGTAAATGGAACCAAATCTTCCAAAGGGCTGGGCCGCGGAAGAACCGGCCTCCGGCTGCGGCTGCGGCTCCGGGCGCGGCGGTCCTGGCCGAGCCACCAACCCAAGTGGACAATGCGGGGTCTTACACCCCGTTTAGCTGGATCTAGGGGTTATATGGCTCTGGGGAAAGTGCAATAGAAATATATATATATATATGCATATATATATATATATACATACATACATACATACATACATACATACATACTTACATTACATACATTACATACATACATACATACATACATACATACATACATACATACATACATACATACATACATACATACATACATACATACATACATACATACATACATACATACATACATACATACATACATACATACATACATACATACATACATACATACATACATACATACATACATACATACATACATACATACATACATACATACATACATACATACATACATACATACATACATACATACATACATACATACATACATACATACATACATACATACATACATACATACATACATACATACATACATACATACATACATACATACATACATACATACATACATACATACATACATACATACATACATACATACATACATACATACATACATACATACATACATACATACATACATA